TCCTATGTACCATGTTCTCCCATTTGCACTAACGAACCCAAATACTACCCAATGCTTTCTGCAATCCTTTGAATAATGTTTGGATTTAACGGCAAATTCATAAAAATATAATTTTCGTCGGAATACTCGTTCAAATCCATTTCATGTACTAGTGTGTTTAGAGATCGGTCAAATTGGAAACTAATTGCACACAAGAGCATGAATTATTTGTCGAGACTCCCCTCCAAAAATAAGCTCCGGTACAGCCCAATTCTGAAAACCGTGTGAATATCAGACAGAATTATTTTAAAACTCTTTATTTGCTATATGTCAATACATTAGCCGAAATGGACACAGGTTGCTCGGTGCATGCAACAGATATCCAGGGTAGAGCGGGGAAACCTTCGATTCTTATAAATCACATTAAACAGCTCCATTGACTGGGCCCCTTAAGACAACAGGTCCGGCTTCTTTCAGACAAATAGTCACAAAAAAGTAACTTTTTAAAAAATCAGCTATATTACCAATATGAGGCACACGCTAATGGAACAAAGATGGCATTCTTCAACCTGCTTGACACTTTAAAAAGAAATAATGTTAGTTTGAAAGGGGTGACAAAGCGAGCAGAGGCATACTGTGCTCGCCTGGCGCTTGCCGCGTAATTCAGTCTCCAAAAAAGACACTGATCTGCCACGTGTCCAACCATCTCCAACATCACCACCTCCAACCAAAGGCCTTTCGAAAGCTCCAGCATCACTGATTGGAGATGTTTTATGCTTATTAAAAGCTCCTGATCCTTCACAAGTATCCTTTTTCATCAACATTGTTCAGGTGGCCGCACTTCCAAACAGTAGATGTCGGTGCGCAAAACAAAACTTTTGCGCGCATTCATCTCTGATTTTCCCCTAGTTTCCCGGCGGGGTACCAGCTGCTAGCTCGTGAAAAGACGGCTTATTAATTGTTCTTTGTCATGCAGAATTGCTTGATTTCTAAAGAAACTCACAAAAGAGCCATTTGGAGGATTCGAGTATTTTTCCTTGCGAATATTCCGTCATTTGCATCTTTCACCTCGTCTACCAGACACAGGTACTAAGTTCCGACTCTTTTGTGTGTTCCGTCGCCTTATTAACCAAAAGAGCCTGATTTATTACAAGCTGCCTTTTCAATCCTACACTATAAGTTTGAGAAACTTTTAAAATCCGAATATTGTTCAACAAAACAAGGCCGAAAGCGGGGTAGCGGGCTGGGGAGACGCGGTGCGTTTTGCGCTTTGTGCTGTGAAATGAACGGTATGCTTGGCTACATTATGAGAGGCGCTGCTCGCTCAAGCTGCAGTTAAATAATTACATTATTGTCATTTCCACCTCTCAGTGGCTTGGAGATGTAAAATTCAAAGGAGTCAATAGCCTGCTTTGCGGGATTAGTATCAATTTTGTTTCTTCCTGGAGCAGTTTCTATAAGACACAACGAGGAAAGAAAAAAAACTGTGACAATAACAATGCAGAGAAGAGTCAAAAAAGACAGCCCGTTTATCAGGTGTATGACACCGACTTTGATAAAATTTATGAGTATCTAAACTGCAAGTCCCGAAAAGAGAGAGGTGGAAATAATTGCTATTAATTATTTTCCGTCTTTGCTGCATGATTGACGCTAATCAGTGGTGAATTTCTCCTCTGTGTCTTGTTTTGACAGTTTTCTTCATTCTCTGCGGTTCACATTTGTTGCCTACAAAGACCAGTATAGTCCCAGCAGCTGGTCTGAAGTCTTAAAACCGTGGCCCACAACCCAGTAGGGGGGGGCGGGGGCTGGGGCGGGGGGGTGTTGTTTTTTTGGTTATACTTACTTGTTGGTGGGGCGGCTTTGATCTCTCCACCTGCGAGACAGGGTCTAACTTAATTAATGAAAAATTAAACTAATAGTTATTCTGTGTCTTTCTGCAATGATAGATTGTCAACAGCGAGTTAAATAGGACCTATTTATTCTCACCCTAAATGCGAGTCTGAATGCGCCTGGGCTTCAACCTCACCTGCTTCCCCAGTCAATTAGGAATGTAGCGAAAATTCTGCCAGAAACGAGTTAAATTAACCGTTCGCTAATTTTCTTGTGTCCCTACCACATAATCCTTCTTTTACACGGCGGTTAACTTGCCCCTAGAAATTACCACATGTTGTAAGGTTCAAATAGTGCTTAATGAAACAGTGACTAAATCGTTCACTAAGCCGACATTGGAGCCCTTCAGCTCCGCGTTCAAAGGCTCTGGGTTTGCATCCGTCGGGGGTCCCACTCAATGCAATGCAAGTCTTTGGCAGCAGAATACCTGTCAAAGCGTTCCCTTGGCGAACATATTCTTTTTTTCCTCGCTCTCTCTGCTTCTGCAGAGTTTCCGAGAGAGAAAGAGAGAGAGAGAAATTTATCAACTTTTAGTGCACTGAAACTGAAAATGAACGGCATCGTTTGGAGAAAGTTACCAATCTCTCCGATATTCTATTGCACCAAACGTGTGATGAATGTATAATGTCGAGTGGGTTTAGCCTTAAACTATGTAAAAATATAAATTCAATCTCGATCGGAGGTCAAAGCTGTGATCTCGATGACTTCAATATTCCAATGGACAACAACTAGCATGTCAACTTAAAAAGAATTAGGCTGCTAGGTTACATTGCAAAAGTGTGAGATTCAAAAGAGCGCGGTCAATGCATCGCTTTCAGTGAAATATAATCCAAATGGACTTTTCACCAATTCATCTAAAACCTGACCAGAAATGTAACACTGCCGTTGTTTTCTGAACTAGTTCTGCTAGAAATAACGTGCTTATTTGGGGGGGGGTCGGGGGTGGGGGGTGGGGGAGGACGTACGAGTTGGAAAGAATCTATGGAGACTATGAAAAGTGCCAATTTTAGGTGCCTATTATTTCCAACATAACAGTAACTCTCATTGTTTCCATTGTAAGCAAACATTTTGTACATTTATTGATTGAATGGTTCAAAATGATTGCTTTTAGGTTTTTTTTGCCAATGAGAATCACCCATTTCACCGAAAAGACAGATGCTAATTGTGCACCCAACTGTATTTGCTTTTAAAGTCAATTAAAAGGACGTGAAAGTCATATATCTTTGACCGATATTGTATGGATCGGGCTAATAAGGCATCATAAAAGCACCTCGGGCCATGTCTAACAGTGACACTGGTTTACGAGTTGCTGAATCACTCCTCTGGGTTCCTCAATGCTTTCCTATCCATCATTGTCGCTTCCATAGAAAAGACACACAATGCGCCCTTCGCCACAGTGAGCCCAGCCGGGCTCCCCGCGCTCAGGCCCGGGCATTGCCAACTTCGGCCTTTCAACAGATGGAAATTGTCAATAGTTCATTAATCTGTGGCTATTTTCCCTCTACTGCCCCACTGAATAAAATTCCAATTTATCTTCTCTTATTGCCCTGACAATTCCATCGAGTGCCCGAAGGACTGCCTGTTGTTTGGGCGCTGGCAAAATTCAAGGCACTGATAGCCTATTCTCAGCTGAAATTTACAATCGACATTCAACCCACAGCCGTGGCTAGCCCTAAAAAAAAGCCACAACAAGTCCAAGTGCATATTAGAGAAACCTTTTCGATGCGCACTGGCCTATCAACAGTGATTGTCTGTGCAGCCAGATATGTAGGAGCAGTGGAACTTGTGTAAGTTTGATTCGTTATAAAGCGATAGCTTCCTGTTCCGGCGTGCTCAAGTGATCTTTTTGATATTGACACAAAATGAAGATTAAGCATGATTCTGAACTTTGTAAATATTGCTTTCCACTGGAAACAAGTTGGGAGGAGGGGGGTGTTGGGAGTGGATGGAAAAACGTAATTTATTGTAATTCTACTGTAGCTTGTTTCTTGAAAGTCTTATTTCCAACTTAGTCCATGTTTCCACAAATCATTGGCTTCCTTTTGAATGAATGATATACACTCAAGTTATCTCATATAAAGTTATGGGTTTTTTTAGAACATCGAACAAAATAGATGCATTAGGATTTGTAACTAACTTGTAATTGATGTCATCCCACTTGTGAAAACAAACAGACATTCCCTGGATCATTCGAACTCTCCCCCTATATCTTAGCTCATGTTCATCGAGAATCTTCCTCTAATTCTATCTACGAATAGGAAGTGACGATGTGTGTGCCACCTAGTTAAAACGCCCAGAAGGAACAAAATGGTCCGAAATGTTTGTTGTCACAGGTGTGAAGTTACAAGTGATGGTCGAGGTCAACGAGCTTCTCGACATTCAGACGAGCTGGAGGCATTCCATCAATCACTAGCCCCGGCCTGCAATCAATGATGGTTTTGAGGGCCGCGGGATGGGTCAAAGGAACAAATCTATTTTCTCTACGCGACTGTAAAAGAAAATAATATCGCTGTCTACGTTGCATTCACCATGTTTGAGGTTACGTACAGCATATGCCATCTGATAAGCGTCTGCGGTTTTGCACTTGAGTTGTTTCTGAGATGATTTCTGTCTATTATCTACCCAATAATGGCGTTATCCAGTAAAGGACCACCATTCGTTGTCTCTCCCTCGCTAACACCGTCGCTCAAATCATGAAATGCAAAGAAACAATAAGTTTGTTAGAACCCTTTGAATGTTATACCTTAACTTTTATAAACAAGGTCATCGATATTTTCCAGTTGGTGGGTTCATGTGACCCCGACACACATTCACATACCCACATTTTCTCTGAGAAAGCCCGTCGTCATTTATCATATGAACAAATAGCTTATTAACCAAGTCCTTTTCTTGATTTGCTTTTGTTTACACGAGTTTTATTAAGTGGTAAGTTTTCCAGGCCCACGGCTGCGTTAAATAGGACGTTCTATGAAACTGAATTGCTGGAAACCATTAATCCCGTAATGAGCAAAATTCAATAGAAATGAACGAAGGAAGAGATAAATCGTGAAAATTGTCTCAGTACTTCTGGGATGCTTTACTTTTTCTTGTTAGGCTTAATTTACAGAGATAAAGATTAACAAAATAAACAGTTTCTTCAAACATCAACATTTTATTTTAAATAAATATAAATATAAGTGTCATATAAAACTATTCACAATAAGTGAACTTTAACCGTGACATTTTACAGCAATGTACCAACCAGCTAGCTATTTACAGTTTCTTCTATTCGACCTACAATTGTTTTTAATGGGCTGGTGCATTTAGATAGGCATCTTTTTTGTGTTTTACAGAAGTCAGAGTTTGAAAATACATTATTTATACAGAACGCTCGATAACTTTATTTTTATAAAAGAAATTGCGCGAATATTGCTATTCAACTGCTTTCAGAGCAAAATAGCTCCTGAAGGATTCAAACAAAATTATGTTGGGCTCAAAGGGAGGTTGATGTTTGTCTATTTTTAACCATATTGTGTGAATATATTGAGACCCGGGATGGAAATGAAATTGCTGCGTGCTCCATCTCGGTTTAATTCTACAATGAATCCAATCACACCAGGACGGTCAGCAGGCACACAATCAATTGCAGCAACAACGCTGCACCAAGGGACCTTTTTAGAAAATCTTAAGCAAGTAGTGAAGTACAGTAAGTGCGTTGAAGGAATACAGAAATGAACAAGTCTGTAAACTTTTAAACATTGCAAGTCTGACCACTATGCAGGTGACATATCTTTGTCTTCTTTGCCCGATGATATAGGCGAGAGGGATTCCTCATCCTCTGAGCGCAGACAGTGTCCTTGGCTGCTACACTTGCAGGCGTTGTGCGCGTTTCGTGGGGTCCCCTTGCCTTCCTTTTTGTGTTTAACGCGCCGATTCTGGAACCAGATCTTAACCTGCTTCTCAGATAAATTCAGATAGGTTGCAATTTCAATCCTGCGAAGCCTCGACAGGTACATGTTGGAGGCGAACTCTCTCTCCAGCTCTAAGAGTTGCGTACTAGTGAAAGCTGTTCTCATCCGTTTGCCGTTCTGGAGGTGACTGTTGGTTTCAGTACCTGTGAACAAAATGCAACATTAACAACTATGGAAAGGCGGATTACAAGGGGGGAAAAATCCTCTATGGTGCCAATAGCAGGATATAACATATCGCTTATATCCAAACCTCGAACATAGATATTATTCAGAGATATTAAAGAAACTGGGCCTCTGCAAAGAAATGCTGCATCTGGAATTACTGCTGTTTTTTGTCAACTAAATTCTCAACTTGCTTATTTCGTTCGGATAGATAGTTTCATTATATAAATCCTGGGGCGCGGGATCACTCATTAACCGTTTGTCTCTTTAAACATGATAATTGCTATCCATGGTCAGTTCAGAAAAACTCTTCAAATCAACATCAAATATTAAGTGCGGTTATTCTGTGCTAATCATTAAACTTGCAATAAAATATCAGTGTGTTCCTGGCACATTCCTCTCTCAACATATCAATCAGGCTAAACTCGCACAAACAACAACTGTCCTCAGGTGTCTGATCCGTTCACTGTTTGAAATAGTTGTACGTACCCACAGTTAGACAGTGGTATCTCCTAGGATCTGTTACGCTGTAAGTGGGTGTGCAAACAGGTGGATGCCCGAGACCAGGGTTTGACTGCTGGTTGATTCGTTGACAGTACTGGGGGTCTCCATTTGGGAACTGGCTTTTCAGCAGCGGGATTCCACTCCGGGACGAGTGGATGTGGGACGTGACACAGAGAGGGCAGACACAGAAAGTGCCCGTCTTTCTGGACGGACAGACGGGACCAGAAACCGACATCATAGTTGGAGAGTGGACGCTAATGGGAATCAAAAAGTCTTGGCCGTGATCGTTCAAGACAGGAGCAGGCCTCACTGAAGAATCTTTGATGATCAGGGAATCAACGTAAAACGATCGAGACATTTCGTGTATTCTTCTTGGCTCTGCCTGGATTTCTTGGTTGCTGGGTTCAGTGTATACTGCGGCAGGGAGAGAGTCAGAAGGTACTTATGTTGGAGGCTAAACAAAAGGGTCTCTGGCGATGGTTGGTCTGAACGTCACCCACGTGTGCGTCCTGCTTCAGGGCTTTTTTTTCTGTTGCAAGTGAACTATTAACACGTGATTATAAAGAGCCGGAGATCAACATTTCCCCATTTGTCAGGCAACCCCTTGAGACACACTATCAAAGTCTGACAAAACAAGAAACAAAAAACTTTTTAAGTGAGTGTTTTGTAATTTTGCTCAGTATGTAAAGCAAAGCTCCACAGCGCGAGTTAACCAGCTGCGGATAACAGCACCATTGTCATGAGATTTCAAATCACTTTCAATTGACTGATTGGAAAAGGGAATGGATTATTCCAGCGAACACTTTCTGACTCTTTGGCTGTTTTTTTTTGAGATGTGCAGATGACTACAGACCAACATTGAAGTAATTCTCTTGTATCCTAGGAAGTCCTTTATATCTCTTGCTTTTCCTGTAATTGTAATGCTATTTTCGCAAATCGATTACCTTCATTTCTTTAGTGAAGTTTTGTTGCAACATGATTCTCCTCCTTCCCCCCGTTAAATGCTCGGAAAATCTCCACCGAAAATAAAGCAAAACGTTCACAAAAGAAAATCAAAATAGCTGACCATAAAGATGGTTCCTCGCGGTCGGTATGAAGAATGGAGTATTTGAAAAACAGAGGATGTGAAATTCATGAAGAGTTATTGGCATCCAGCAAGGCATCGTTTTTTTTTTCTGTCCTATTAGCGCAGTTCACAACCATTTAGGGAGTGTGACTGGAATGAACGCTATCCTTCCACAATGAGTCAGTTGAAAGTAATTTGAAATCTCGTGACAATCACTGAAGACTTGAGTCCACTGACTTGATAAAACCCGAAAGAACTGCAGATGCTGTAAATCAGGAACAAAAGCAGAATTTGCTGTAAAAAGCTCAATAGGTCTGGCAGCGTATGTGGAGAAAGGGTTCTGAGGAAGGGTCACCGGACCCGAAATGTTGGCTCTGGGATTGTTTTTCTCTACAGATACTGCCAGACCTTCTGAGCTTTTCCAGCAACTTCTGCTTTTGTTCCGCTGACTTGATGTTGAGTTCTGCGCCACTGAAAGATTATTGCCCGTCTGCTGTATATGTAGTCCGGGAGCTGCAGGTGACTTTAGCGTGTTTGTCCCGTGTTTACAACTTCGAGCAGCTTTGAATAAAATGAATAAAGAGAAAGACGTCGATTTTACGTGAGCGAACGATTGATGTAATGATCTTCTCAGGTTAATACAAGTAATGAGCCCGCTATTGCCAAAGAAATTATCAATGGTAAGAACTGATCTGAGAAAGTCTGATGTAGACTATAGTCTATGTAAGCATCGTATTCAGCAGTAAGTTTACAGCGCAGTCAATAAAACAACACAAGCGTCTTATGGGAACTTACCCGTGACGACTGAAATTCCACTTTAAGGTCCTTTGTAAATTTTTTGAAGTGTAGAAGAATTCACTGGTGCCTGATCAAATGACTATTTTGAAAAAGCGCGCCGCTTGTTTAGCTGACGGTTAAACAGCAAGGCATTGGGAAAAACTAGACGGGTTTATCTGTCTCTCTGGAAAGCATGCTGAGCCACTCTACCAACAACTGGTGTTGCCCAGAAACGAGAAACTCTAATACGATTTGAGTGGAACTGTTTCATCTCGCTATAGCAAAACTGTCGAGTTTTGAAGAGTCTTTTTGAAAGGAACCCTTTTAGCCTCGCAGTCTGAACATTGAGGACCAGACACTGCGGCATGCTGTACAACTTCAGCCTTTTCGATTGACAGCAAACACTCAATATAAATTGTCACTTGTAATCCTATCCAGTGACTTTAACATTTAATATTACACATCTTTTCAAATAATCAAGTTAACATTAAAGCTAACAACCGCGATACTTTAAATAGTTGTGATTTGTTTCAACAAGAACAACACGCACCATATACGAAGATCATTTATGGTCGACAATTCATTTTTTATGAATTAGCAGAGTAAATGGTGATTGCGTTATTTGTTTGCGATTATCATTCAATTAGTAAGTGTTTATCAGGCACCAGATTAGTGTATGTTAACAAGCAGTTAAATATCCTAGCAATGCGTTAATCCTAGATCTTGTGACAATAATTAACAATTTTGGTCTGTGCCAGGGACCTCGCGGGTCAATTTAGGGCTTTACACGGCTTTTATGAAAGGACCTCCAGTCTGAAATTCTGCAATTGGCTGAAATGTAGGTATACAATCTGAAAGTCGTCATGGTCGAAATCAGGTTCTTGCTCGATAACACTTGAATCGATGCGCTAATGTCATGCTGGAGTTCACTCTTCAGTGATGAGCGCATTGTAATTTATTCATTTTAAACAGGTTCACACTCTTGTGTATCTCAAGTCTTTAAGTGCAACCACGCAACTTCACGTAATGCTGTTTTAAACACTGTTTCTCAATTCTCAAACTAGTTTTAAGATGTTGTCCTTATGCCTTGCGTGCGTTACATATTCATGGCAATGGTTTAACGTAACTACCGCTTGCTACCATTTCAATCCTGTCACTAAGATACGACTTAGTCAATGTATCTTTCAAACATCCCACCTTCCTGAGACAAGGTCCATGTGCCTTCTCGCCAGTTTGAAAGCCCTAAAGTATTGTTCAGCGTTTCCGCGAATGAAGTGAAGAGCAGGGCAGGTTTGTTCCCGGGTCAATTTCATTCACTGCCCTCAACACCAAGGCAAGATCGTAAGATACCTCATACAGATCTAAATAATAGATCTGAGTTTTGATATACCTAGAATCAGAACTAGCTCGGCCTAGCCATACCTCCTTAAACAGATACTACTGTGTTCCACTATAATTCCACTTCGAGTAGTCGAACGCTCAACCATATTCCCAGCTGAAATGCGATAAAAATAATGTGTTCATATTTATTTCCATCTCAGATTACCTGACGTCCTTGAAGGGCGGCCCAGTGGCTAGCACTGCTGCCTCACAGCGCCAGGGACCCGGGTTTGATTCCACACGTGGGTTAACTGTCTGTGTGGAGTTTGCACATTCTCCCCGTGTTTGCGTGTGTTTCCACACTGTAGGGATTCTATAGATTTCTATGGGGGTGTGGTGGGAAAAGCAGATGAAATAGTTACTCAAAAGAGCCAGGCGCCTCTGCAATAAAACTTAAAGCTGGAAAGTTCTTCAGCTAGTTAGCTGAATGGAGGTCAAGCAGCCTCAATCACATCACCAGGCAGCTTTGTAATTGTACTAATAAAGCGAGTGAACGATATTACAGAAGCAGGGAGCCAGAAAAAAAGAAGCCAATGACTCCAATGAAACAAAATGAAAGAATGTCTAAGCCAGGCGGAATGATGCAAGGCGCGCGCCCACATCGCATGGCCCTCGTTACAATATGATTTTCGATAATTATGACCAATAAAATTTCATTGTTCATGTAGTAATCCTGGGAATGAGAGTGGTTATGAGCCTATAATGAGGTCAAATTGCTTCGACTAGCCGAGACACGTGTAAGGATTTAAGAGGTATTAAGCGGCTGGGTACAGAGCACCGACTGTTACCTGAACATTACTTTCATAATTCAAGTATAAAATCAGTCCATTGAAGGGAAATCATTGGAATCCGTTTATTCTACTCGGGTGACAAAGTGCCTTGTCTGTGTTGCTTAAGTCGATGTTAAAAAAGTGCGAATGCAACAAAATTGCTCTTTTGTGATTCCAGTTTCTAAAGAGCAACAGACAACAATAGTGTGTCACACTGGCCTGGTCTGCTGGCTATTTTTGGAGATCTCTTTCCCCTATTTTCCAAAAATTCTAAATAATCGGTCCTACACCAGGAAAACAACTCGCACCTTTTTGGAAAATCTTTTGAAGGAGAGATTTAGAACACATCCATCTGTTACTGCAAAATGCTGCGTGTGACTCCTATTCTGAATCAAATGTATTACATTCAAGTAAAATCTTAATACAAATTAATTTTCCTCCAAAAGATCACTGATGTTTGCCATGCTTGTAATTCCAACTCCTGATTCACTGGTGACGCTGTCATATGGAGAACCAGGATGGTGGCGAGTCTTCCCTTTCACTCCTTTAGGTTTGCACGTAATTGTCACAATTTTTTTTTTATTCCCTACAGGATCATGGAAACATTTGCTAAAAAATTGAAAAATAGCAAAATGCTTGTGGGAGACATGATTGTTCGGTATCTCCCCATTCTACAAATTGCGATTGTGATCTATTACCACGGTATAAGTCGAGTATGGAACACTCGGTTAAAGCCATTGTACATGATACCAAGACTAGTCTGTTAACTTTACAACAGCCATTCAGAGTTACAGTTTATAAAAGAACTTGAAATAAAGTTTTGTTTTATATGAACATGACAAGAAGAAAAATGCAACGCTATTCTCAAAACTTACAACAATCGACGAAATTTCTGCTTGGAATGATTGAATGCACTAACACGTGTAATTTAATGAAACTATCTCCAATTACTAATTTGCCTTGTTCACTAAACATTGCTCAAGCTGAATAGAGGAATGGACTTCATTAAGTTGCATCGGACTATTTTAAAAAATTCTCGATGATACACTGGAATATTCCCGATTAGAGCAAATCACACTTGTGATTTGTCGAGTATTTGTTACCAGGCAACAGTCCTTGAATGACAAAAAGTGAAAAGAACCGCTCTGTCTGCTGTCCTTTAAACTTCAAAAAAATCTTCAATAATAGTGGAAAAGGACAATGATGGAAGAGACAACAAAATGCCACTGGGGTGACTTTTCACAAGCAATTATTCTTCATTTATCCATTCAGAAAAAAGCAGCTCCCATATTATTATTTTTGTTTTATTTATTATGCTCATCCCTGGTCATTTGCATGAAAAAAATGGTGTTTGGGTAATAAAGTTTCAGATTTGCACATAAACATACCAGTACGGGCAGAACATGGGCGTTAAGGCTTGTTTGAAGTATAATTAAGATCGAAAATATGAAGTCAGGCGTTATGGGATCTGTCCTGAAGTGTCAACGTTGGGCGGATCGTCTATTGAAACTTTTCAAAAGAATCACGAAACAAACGAAGTGGAGAGCGCGTGACACAGGGAACGGTTGTAAACGTGTTAATTTCAGACAGCTCATTTTTGGAAAGAAGTGAGATCTCTTTCCCTTCCCCCCTCCCCATGGAATGTGTTTATAAAGCATACTTAATTGTTTTTAAAAAGAATGCAAATAACTAGTGTGAAATCATAACAATAGAAGTTGCTGGAAAAGTGAAATCATAATCTCTCTATTTTGTAGGCATCAATCGTAGTCTTAAATTTGGTTGCCTTTCATTTCAATTGCCGGAATATATCCATAGGTTCATTGTGGCTTTATTTGGCATTGCCGAGACCAGCAAAAAGAAAACATTAACTCCAACGCCAGTTAACAATTTATAAGAGCATATCCACAGCAATATCATCAAAATGTCAAATGTACTGCATGCAAAACGTTGCACTCTATTTGATTCCCAGCGAGTGTAATTCACTCGCCGACATTCCTCCTAGCATAGTTTGCTTCCAAAGTCGATCCTCATGTACTATATCTGAATGAGTTCAAAGATTAAAGTCCAAAATTTTGTGCAACCATGCTCGATAGAGCGGAGACATAGATATCCAATAACAGTGTAAAGTCATATTAGATTTGGACCAGAATTGAATGGAATCTTACAGTTTGATGTGGTTTCTGCAACCTATTCGCTATATTCATGAGCAAGTTCCAAACGTGACGTGTTCTTCATTATCTTTGCAGTAGATAAAAAGCAGCTGACCGATTTCATAGACGCCCTCTTATTCATGGCCGCCTTTATATTTGACATTGGGAGGTGGGAAATGTTACTCCGAATTCACCCTTCCTCACTTCCACGAGTAAATCAGCTGCAGACTGATGATAGATTCACAGCTGTAGTGCAATCGATGGTAAAGTGACCGTGAAGTCTGCTTTTAAAATCGGTTCCACGAAAAAAGACAATGAGGGATGAGATCACACCCTTCCCGTGCACCTGGTGGTGTCTGTGCTTTGCTGATGCAGAAAGTTAAGGGAGAGGAGCTCAGACCATTTTGAAGCGATACAAGACAGATGACTCATCTAGATTACAGTGTAGAGAATTTCCATTTGCTTTATTCGAGTATTTCAAATTTTGAAGCAGGGTAGTGTCACTGCTTGCTTTGGGTTATGTCATTTGCTTTCCGGTGATGCAAAACCAAAGGTGTATACATATTAAAGTTACAGTATCCCGGCAAAGCAGTTGATTTTACACCTACATTGTAATATACCTTCAGCTTTAGAATCGGCATAGAAGCACAGTGGGACGCCAGTGTGAAGCAAACTTTATAAGTGTTGTTTTAAAAAGACTTCAAAGACATCTGCTGGAAAGTCCTAAAGTTTTGAATAGTTGTGAAATATTAACAGAATAGTGTGATTTTACAGAGAAAAACAACCTGGGCATGCAATTTGAAGGTGGCACAGAGCCGGAAAAAATATCTTTCGGTGTTGTTTGCCTGTATCACTCTAATGTTATTTCACTATAAATTTGCTGACAAGCTATAATAGGAAGTGCAGTAAAGACAGACAAATGATTTTAGGCAAATTGTAACCAGTCAAATGGCTACAACAAATGGTGTGGCTTTTCATATTCCTGCCTAGGGCATTGTTGACTATAGTTGAATCTCTTGTAACAGAAATAGTTTGTGGAAATGAAAAGTCAAGTCAGTTTTTATTATT